CTGTTACTGCTTTCTCGAATACGCTGCAGCGTATGAATTTTAAACTAATTTATTTGCCCAGTCGTAAGCCAATATTCATCCGTGCTCAGCGTGTTATATATCTGTACATCCGTAACCTCTTATACATGCTAAGCACATGTTCGCGATGATCGGGCGAACGGATGGTCCGATTTTGAAGCGGTAAAGTGCGCCGGAATCGTCGCAACGTCGCGAGTGACATAGGGACGCTGCGAATATTTTGCGCCTCAAGAGGGCAAGGCAACCCCCAAAAAGCGGCTTGTTGCTATAGGTCTCCATAGACATACATGGGCTAACGTAGAACGACAAAGATACACCGCGTCTTTCGGCCTCGCTTCGCTAACAATTTATGAAAAATTGTAAAAGCGCGACAAAAAAAAAACATAATAAAGAACCTGGCATTTCAAATTACCTAATCCTCTTAAGGTTCTGTTTACTAAGCTTTCATAGATTTCTTCGGAAAACTTAGATTTCCTTGATGTCTTAGGTTTCTTAGGTTTTCTTAGGTTTCTTAGATTTCTTAATTAAATTTCTTAGATTTCTTAGGTTCTTATGTTTCTTAGGTTCTTAGGTTTTTCTTAGGTTTCTTAGATTTTTCTTAGGTTTCTTAGGTTTTCTTTTTCATGAAACTTTTTGAATACAGAAGGTTAGTATATTTTGTTAAATAAAAACTGCCGAGGTTAAAGTACGCCGCGATAATACGTACGGATGTAGATCCCGTAAACTGGTTATATGAATACTAAACATCTCTTGCAGACCTTCGGCCTCTCCTGATTGTAACGCGTGATCTCCGCTTCTACTCAGTCGATTTTTCTGCTTCGAATTGCACAAGAATCCCCCCAGTGTGGGGAGTGTTCTTAGACTCTTGACCTTTCGCCATCGCGAATCGCGGTAGGCCCACTGGTCTCTTAAAAGCTTGTTACCATGGATGCCATAGGGCTAAGATGGGCAGCTCTGTTGCCACGGGCATGACAAATTTGAACAAGAAAAATTTTCGGCTTCGCCTCTGCGTTTCTTGTGCTCCCCTGGCTGAGTAAACACTTAACAAATTTTTTCGCCCACTGATAAACCACTACAATAGCTTCTCAGATTCAGCAGAATTCAGCAGAATAAGCAGAAACTTAACAGCCGAGCCACGAACCAAAACACTTTAGGGCAGAAGGTCAATACTCCACGATTCTCACCGCCGGCAACCATCCTGAATAAGTAGCTGTCTGGCTTTGCCATTCTGACTTTGCAACACAATCCAACACATGAAGATACGACGTAATTTTAAATAGTCGTAAGCCAATATTCATCCATGCTCATCTTGTAATATACATGTTTTACCTAAAGAGCAAGTATTTATGTATCCGCTATAGTCTCCGTGGTTACAGTCATTATGTTTTAAATCACTTTTTATTGATGTGCAGTGAATACTTCGAGTGCTCTTTACGTTTCCTATACTTAAGACCTGGTGAAACCATCTTCTGACCACTGGTTATTAAAAAATAAAAAAAAATCTATTGGCACACCTATGGAAAATATGGAATTTTTTAAGACCAAGCTAGACTTAAACTGACCACGAGTTATCGAGGAGTTAAAAACGGCGAATAAATACGCTTTGGTCGGTAAGCTTGTATGAATAATATAAGATAAAGACAAGTGTTGGTCGCGCTAGCGCGCTCCCAGTTGAGTTTTAGGTATGGAATTTTGATTTAAAAATTTGGAATCTGGAAATATGTTGCTTATTTTGTTGAATTATTTCGTGTAATACTATTTGACTGTTGTAATTACTGTATTTAAAGTTCTTTATCGATTTTTATTCGAAACTGTTTTCACACGTAGAAATATTGAAATATGGAGGTTTCCAGAGCTGGCCCCGCTGCGCGGGGCCAGCTCTGGAAACATTTTAAAATTTTTAGAGATTTTTAAACGAAGAATTCCAAATTTTTGAGGTATCAATAAATTTTTTCGAAAAGCGCTTTTGCAAATATAATATTCCGAAATGTTTAGAAATATTTGAAGATCCTACATATGGGTGTGATCACTGTGATGTTCTTAAAAGTTATAGACATCAATACGGTGATTATTAATAATAATCATCGGTTATTATAATCTTCGTGTTGCTAAGGACTCTGAATTCATAACGCATATAAAATAGAAATTTGCTGCTATTGTTGACCTTCCAGAACTTTCAAACATTCTACAATGTCACAGTACTAAATTTCAACTTTTTTTTGTAAATCTCTGACGTTTCGCAATTTTTTCAAAACCACTTATGGCGAACCTACGAGCCGTAATCTTATTTTTTAAATTTTTAATTTTTCGAAAACATGAATCTCGAATTACAAGTTAATTTTCTTGGAATAAAGGCGTAGCGATTTATAAATCTATAGATAAAGATAAGTATTTGAGTATGCCATGGTACAAATTATTAATTGTTATAAATGAACTGCTATAAATGATTGTCAAATATAACGAACGGAAATGGTAATATTAGGAAGAAGAAATATTACGCGCGGCCTCCCCACAGTCTGGAGATTTCTCTAACCAAAAACTTTTGAAAAAATCTGATGCCTCAGTTAGATCGGCCGTGGTCCAGAACTGCGTCACATGACTTTTGTTTTTGAATACGTCCGATTAGAATCGTGCCGGCACGATGCCGCAAACGATCCAACCAAATTTCGAGGTGACCTTGGAACTTAGAACAATTTTGCCTGGATACATTATACAACAAAAATTATTAAATACGCAAATTAAACGGAATAAGTTAAACTTATTTTCGTACAACACCAACCACAAAATTAAGTAATCACAAGTTAATTTATCGATTTCATTGTTGGCAAATTTGTAATATACATATGGTAGGTATTGACCATACGGACATCGAGCTGTTCGATTTTGGCAGGACCACCCTTCTAAGCAATTGCTAAAAGCAAAGAGCCGCATTTATATTATTTAAAGGTGAGTAAGTGGGCGAGCTACCACTACTGTCCACTGTCCAGTGAGCAAAATCGCTAACTAGCTACCACCACTATCCAGCGCTCAAAACGCTACGTGAATGAGTAACCGAGCTATTCATTGATTCGGGCCGTGGATCATAAGAAACGCGGAGGCGAAGCCGCAGCTGTTTCTTGTATGTATTGTACTATTATGATATTATCTAGAGTGCTATGAAGCCTATGATGCCGTTGGCTCCAAACGAATTGACGCACTTCTTTGTGTTATAATACTATGTAATTAATTTTGTCATTTTACGTAGTTCATTGATGTTCATTTTACGTAGCACGTTTCACGTACACTATGTAGTTGGCATTCTTACGACGGCTACTGTATATATAGATATTCATTATAGTGGCCATCATAAAGCTGCCGGTTTTAACCCTCGTGCGAAGAGTTAACAGCGATCGATCGATCTTATTAAATAGCGTTGTTATTACTCCCGCCGACTTCCGCTCAGCCCACGGCCTATTATCCGGTACACGCCAAACCTCTCGGCGTATTTGGCACCGGGCGATCAGCCTAAAAGAGGAATAATTTTCCCTCGTTTTTCAACAGATCAGTCACCTATTTTCCCTCCTTTTTCAACAAATCAGTCACCTGTTTTCTTTTCTATATAGGACCTAAATTTTATAAATATTAAGTATTAACAACAGCTTTAAATATACGGCAGTTAAATTTGAATGTACATTTCTCCAGCAGGAAATTCAGACAGAAAAAACCAGTATTATTAATTTCAGTATACCTATTTTTTATACATGTGTACCACCCTTATTTGTCGACCGAAGCGAAAAAGCGGAAGCTTTATGTTCAAGAAAACGGGACCTTTTTTCACGACGTCAGTCGCGCACTAACAATTTAAAAAAAAAAGTTAGGAAAATATGTAATTACTGTACTGTGAACAATAACTTACTTTATTTTTACTAATTTATATTTGCACAACCGTGGCGCGCTCCTCCCTCATCTGCACAGGTCGATATTTGCGCAGTAGCAGCCAGAGTGACTTTCTCCTTTACATTCCGTACTTCTACTGCTCATGATAGGCTTGGCTTCTTTTATGGACTATCGCAGACCTGTTCGATAGTAGTAGTAGTACGTACTATAGTAACGATAGAAGATAGAGGGTCATATTTATACAACTGCATCTACACTAAGTAAAAATTATCGAAAGCGGCGGCAAAAAAGTGCTGCTCCAAGCAGGCAAGCGTTAGCGGGTGATATGATGACACGATCGTGCGTGCATGGACTTCATGCTTGTGTGCCACTGCCAGCGTGCCGCAGATGATCATGGACGGAAAGCGGAAAGTGGAAATCGGGAAGCGGCTTCAGCAGCAAACAAGCGAAACTCGCTCACTCGAATTTCTGCGCCAACGCCTATCGATCGAAATCCAACGCGGCAACGCGGCTTTCGTACTCGGGACAATGGACGGAATGGATAATTTAAAGCAAATCTTGTTTTTGTAACATACTATGTTTTGTTTGGAAGCTGAACTGATGTGACTGGCTTGTGCTATTAAAATCCCTCGTGGACGGGATATGCCATTCTCAAATTACTTTATTATAACCTCACCCGCAATTTTCGATACGGGAAGGCGGAAGCGGTACTTATCGACAATGTGCAAAGGGAACACTGTACAATTGTCAGTGCACAGAGGGAACCTGGCATTCCAATTAGGTACAGCTGTGAATTTTTTTCGTTTATGCGGTGATGGGTGCTGGCACATTGCAGAGTTTCTGTTTTCCGCCGTGTTCTAGAGTGCTTTGTATGGGCAAGAGTAAGACAAAAAGAAAAGGGGCCATGGTAGTGCAACTATGTGCTCCTACTCAGACAAAACCTAACGGATATTTTTATGCACCCGCCTTTAAGATGATGAAGAGCACACGCTTTATGCGGCATCAAAACGAGTTTGCTCGAACTGCAAACTAGTACAAACAATCTGGAGACGGCCAAATTTCAAAACATTGTTACTCTAATGTGTGCGATCTTGAAAACTTGCTGCAACCGAAAGCCTGAAACATCATTGATTCTTTCTCTGAACACGCGCAATAACTAGTAACTTCTATTCCAGGCTCCCAGCCAAATCAAAAAATGAATTCAACACTCAACAGCACCACAGTTAAACTAACAAAAGCGTGAGCTTTTTCTAGTGGAATCCAACAAATGTAACTCATTACCTCAAATACCGAAAAAACTATTCCTAGATTCTTATATAACAGAAGAAAAAGAAATTCTAATTTATAAACCGCTAGAAATCCTCCAATTAACTAAACTAAGTGCAGATACGCTTCCTGCACAATCCATTCGTCGAGGCGATCGTTGGTACGGAACCAGCACTCGTAGCGTCCGGCGTGTTCCCGACCCACGCGGTCAATCTTCATGGTCGAGTTGCACGAGCACTGGTCATACAGGCCGAACTGAAAGCGCACTTTGAAATCTGCAGCTCTACTGGCGAAGTCCTTGACGGAATGTGCGTAGAGCAAGTGTTGTCCCTTGCGCCACAAAAACCGGTCGCCTAATAATCCGGGCAGGGCAAAAAAGCGCACTACACACGCCATCTCCGCCGGGTCGCCGAGGCGCACGCTGACGTTCTTCATGGGCGGCGTGAAGACTTCGTTGCGGAAGAGCTGCGGCGTGACCCAGTAGCGCTGCGTCACCACCAGCTGATGGCCGTCGGAATGCAGGCACTCGTACAGACCGGTGTGGACGTGTGAGAAAGCGGGTAGGTGGATGGAGAAGGCGCCGGTTGCCAGGTCGTACTCTCGCACCGTCCTGTTCTCCCACACAAAGCGATCGTATGCTTTTGCGCAGTTGCAGGTGTAGAAACTCATCCTCGGCGCGTCTGGGCCTGCGATTGTGTCGACAGTTGGGACAGAAACGTGATATCCGTCTTTCAGAAACGCCGGTGGAATCTTGACGTGAGAAACCTGTGAGTAGTACCGACAGTTACTTTTAGTTAGGAAAGAACACTTTAGCTGATAAGCAGTACGCATATGCCGCAACCGTTTAAGCGAACGAAGTCAAAGTTACAAACTGGAGCCCGGGTTTACCTAGGCCCTAGCAAACCAATAAGCTCCTTGTAAAGAAGTATAAAACGCATTTCTATCAGAAAATGATCTTTCGTGCACATTGTGGTTATTCACTTTCACATGATTTTATAGTGCTTTTACAGTTTCGAATGTCTGCACAGGGTTATTGCTGTTTTAGAAAATAAAATTGTTGTCGTACTCAAAATGATGCAAACTGTTTACCATCGCCTGACAATCAAATCCTTGCGGACGAGCAGGAAGTCGCTTACCTACACCAGCTGTCCCGTTGTTATAATTTTATCATTATTACTGATGTTATCATACTGCAGTACACTTACGCTACCTGAGTATTGTTCTGGTTGACGCGGTTGTCGCAGGGAATCACCACGGTTCCGCCTTCCGGAGCTCGAAAAATTTCGGTTAACGGTGGCAATTCCGCCGCAGGATACCCGTCAGGCTTCGCAGGGCTCCCGTAACCATTCAGATGGAGGGTTCCGTTGTGGCTACATTGTTTCGCTTCATCCAGGATCTGATTAACTGTGTACAGCAAATAATTATGATTAATATGCAATAAAATGATATGCAATATTTTTCTTGTTCTGATTGGCTTTTTAAAGTTTGAATGTAAATGGCATTGGCTTGTTCAAGTTGATAATAAATATTCATGAATAAAATGATTACACGGCACCACTTGAAAAAAACACTCGCTCGCTTACGCAGCACCATAAATACATAATCCATTTGTTAACGTTATGGAAAACGCATCTGCAATTATTAATTGTCATCGGTGATGATGCGGCAGATTAGTCACTCCGAATAAACTTTATCATAGCAAGGTAAATAAATCAAGTACATATAAAAATGGCTGCCCCGGGGGCGCGCAACGGCGCAAACATGGGGCAGTAGTAGTACTAGTGAGTCGGCCGCCTGGGCAGGCGACCGGGCGCCGTAAAACGCATTTAATCAAGGGAGCAGACAGAAATTCGGTAGACACACGCTCTGTCCAACTCTGTACTCTTGATTAAAAACGGTCCCCGTTTTACGGTTTACGGCGGACTTCGCCGACTCACTAGTTTGCCATCGACCGCTATGCTGAACGAAATTCCCTAAGATCGTAAAATTATCGTTTCATTCAAAACTTTGTACTTAAAAAACCTTTCGAACTTTAACATTTTTTTCGCATTTTTTAAGCTATGACACGCAGAGATTGTATGAATCTGAACAAACATTTACCCGCAGGGGTTGCTCAGTGCGTATCGCTTTTGGTAATTTCGTAAAATGCTTTTCAAAATCGCCTCCTGGACCCTGGCATACAGTAAGTGGTGTACGTTGGGCCATTGATCATGCCCGCCCAACATTCCTGCCCAACTCGAATCTGTACGCAAAAGGCTCGTATTTGCCACCGTTGTGGTGACCAAATAGCCTAAACCCATTACATCTGTTTTAAACCTTTCGATAACTAAAATTATTTCAAAACAAATAAATCTTATTGCCGATAGTATCCCTATCCAATTTACTGTAGTAAAAAATGAAATATAATGCAGTCAATACGATCAGATCAGCTAAAGAGTAATAACAGAAGACAATAAAAATTAATAACCTTTCCGCAGTGCATACAGCCAAATCGTAACAAAAACGTGTCTTTCTCGGGGATCGTGCGCATAACGCATTCCCACGCTATTACTGCTAGCGCAAAAACATCAGACGCTTTTTCAGACACCGCAACGGCGCCGTTGATTTGTTGATGCGGCACCCACACACATTTGCACGCCTTTTAATTTGGCGATAATAACAGATAGCTTAAAACGACAGTGTTAACTGCATGATCTGCATCCGATATCTATAAACGAAGCAGGTAACTGTAAGTAACGACAAAAGATATAAAATAAACAGTGTTACTATACAGTATTGCACATGGGTTTAACGAAGACTGAGACGGCGTCGACCGTGTCAAAAAATGTCAAAGCCGCCGACAGCCAGCCTGCCATGCCGCCACTCGGGAATTTTCTTCGAACTCGCCGCCGCGCCGGCAAACAATAGCGTGAAATCCAGGCAGCACTGCCTCAGACAGCAGTCCGTTCACAGGTCGGCGAACGGATCGGCTAGCATTCTCTACGACTGGATCTCGGCATCTCAGACCGACAAAACTTTGGATCCCTAATCCAGTCATACGAAGGGATGTCTTCATTACGTGGGATTACTGTGTATGCCACATTAGTGGAAGGAAACGGAGCATGATATAGAAACAAGGGAGAATAAGAAATTTGCCATACTATGGGTAAACTGCATGAGTACGCTAATTTGAATTAAGGCTCAATCCCTTGCAAGTTGCAGGCTTCCCCGAGATATTCCCTGTTCATCAGCGCAGCTAATATTTCAGAAGAGAGCATTGCGGACATTACGATAGGCATAAAGAGAGGCGTAAGCCTTGTACGATTATATTACGTTTTCTTGAGTTATTTCCGGCGTTAATATCGGCATACCAAAACGGCAAAATGTAGCTAATTTATTACTCTATGATTCCGCATATAACTGGTCCCGCACACTGTCAGCACAGCAGCACTAAGAATTTTACCCAAAAAAATTCAAAATGTTTCACAGCTAAATTACCTTGCTAACACCCTCCTTTGGCAGTTAATACTGTCAGCAGAACAGTACAAGAGTTCTACCGAAAAATGCCAAAATGTCAAATGCTAAATCACCTTGCGAACGCCCTCATTTGGCAGCTAATACTATCAGCAGAGCAATTCAAGAATTTTACCGACAAATGCCAAACTGTTAACTGCTAAATCACCTCTGCGAACACTCTCGTTTGGCAGTTCAGTGCAGTAATGAATAATGCAGTATAAAACTATTTCGTTTTTCTGAAATTCCCTAATGAAGTTTTACAGTAAAACTTCATTTCATCTTCAAACTTCATTTCCAGTAAAACTTCAGTTCTTCTTCATTTCAGTAAAACTTTTGCTTGACAAATTCTACACATCTAGAAAAAAATTCTACATTTTGTAATATTGGCGTAACTAGGAGCCACAATCTTTCCGCAAAGAAATAACGATTGCAGCTATAGAACCCCATGCTGTATTCCTTTGAAATATCCTGTACAGTCAGTACATATACGCCCTACTTTACCTACTTTTCTCGATGGTGAATTTAGGCCGTGTGCCGCAGGTACGATATACAGGTAAAGTGCAAGCAAGCACACAAACAAGAGCCGTAATTACAAGAAAACGATCCATTCTGGGCACGATGAAAGTGATAAAATGATAAAACGGGTAACACACACTACCGGAGTAAAAATCTCGTGTAAAAGCGTTCTGACTGTCCTTGGATGGTATCATGGTAGTACGACCGTGTACGATCAGTAGTACGATCTCGTATCATGTTGTATCGTTATCGTATGGTATCGGTGAATGGTATCGTTTTTTTGATTGTTATCAACACGATCCGTGGCCGTTAGTAGCAGGCCCCTACACAGGCAGACGCATCCACCAGTGCTTCTCACGATGCCAGAACAGTCAGGTGTTCCTAAACGTTTCGCAGTGCTATGTTAGGACTGGACCAATTGTCAGAGACCGCTCACTCGAGGCGGTAGACACCTCTCGTGGCTTTGCTCTGTCGCCCGCCCGCACATGGCCACGCCATTCGTGCCGCTATATTACGCTGCTTACTCAGCGTCTACTTTGTCTCGCTGACCAATCAGCGCATCGCAGCACTCTTGGGGGCGTAGCCCAGCGCCTACGGGCGATTCCATGCTTTGTGGCATCAGCTGTTGCATACCTGCAGCACGCTGAATCATTATCACGATTCTGACGAGCGCGCTTGCAGCCACTTTTTTCCACAGCTTTTCCCTATCGGGTTTTCTGTTGGTTTTTTTGTTGTTGCTTTATTGTTATCACAATAAAGGCTATTTGCCCCATTTTCCATCTGCTTCTGTGTCATATCTGACATGGTAGCAGTATCGTTCGGTTTTCCTTCCTGTGAAACCTCTGATTCCCAGTGAAGGCATCATCGGTCGAACTACGCTGATTGCCTAAAAGTAGGCCAGCCATTCCGCGACCACCATCTTTCCTGCATTATACAGGCTTCACTGGAAGCCTGCTGCGCGACGGACTAATCATACGGGTCGGCGCCTATAAGTAGGTCCCCCGCAGCTTTGGCTCCCCGCGCAAAAACTGCGTTGGGTACGATCCAGTTGTCCAAATAAGCACCCTACCGGGTTGCGTTGATACGGGTCGGCGCCTATAAGTAGGTCCCCCGCAGCTTTGGCTCCCGGCGCAAAAACTGCGTTCGGTACGGTCCGGCTACACCTTAACGCCCTATCGGGTGCGCTGCGGCCCTCACGGTAGAAGAGGGTGAAGTGGACGACGGAGCAGCACTGTCTGGATCGAAAAACGACCGGTAAGACCTGCTGTGGCGTCGTAGGTTTTCGTAGAACTCTTGAAAAATTCGAGGTTTTCACGGAGAACCTAAGTTTAAAAATTAATAACTTTCGAACCTTTTATCCGATCTGCATAGAAGTTGCTTTTTCGGAATCCTCAAGAAATTCTGCACTAGAAAAGTGTAACAGAACTCTCGTAAAAATTTTTCCTAATTGTTGGTGAATTTCCGGCGAAAAAACAGCCGCCATTTTGTCCAGCCGAAATTTTCGCGAAAAAAGTCGCATGACGTCATAATGGCTCATTTCCGTATAAAAATCGACCAATCAGAATAAGTGGGAAAATTCCCCCATATTGTAGGCCCGTAATGAGTCATACTTGTTTTTGCATTTTTGCTCACGGCACGCTATTCGTGACGTAGGCAGTTAATTGCAAAGTAATCTTATGTGACGTCACGCTGGTTAGTACAGTAGTATAGGACCATAGGTAGGATAACATACTACCTGAGTTCCAGCACAGTACGCCAGCACCCACCATCGATCCTGACCAGATCCTGACCCGATCCAGCGTCCAAGAAACAAGTTCCTGGACCTGACCGTAAACACCCCACAACGTGGTGGGTGTTCGCTGTAGCCCCGTACAATGGGCGAAGTCCAAATGGCTGGGGCCCGGGTGATATCAACCACTAGCCAAAGGCATCTCAACGAGATGGGCAGCCAGCCGGACCAGCGCACAGAGAAGCTGTACGCCAGTCCTATTTGGACCCATCAAACCGCAGGCGACGGACATACGGTCCAACTTGCCGGTCTCAGTGGGTCAGAGCCAACGGCACTTGGCCCAGTTTGGCCAACCCAGGTGACGCGCCTACGGCGAATCTCACCGGTTGTCCCAGATGCGGACGACAATGGCCACGCGGACATCCACGACCAAAGCCACGTGGTACCGTCCAACACTGACCGGATCCAACGGCCAAGCCATAACGGTGCGGACCTGATCCGGAGACCGACTGTGACATACCTGTCGCGAGTCGGATACGGTGAACCGTTTGGTGCCGCTACGCGGACCCAAATGGTGAACGGAGCCGAGGATCTGGTCCACGTCCCACCTTACTTGGACGCGGTAAGCCAGATCCAATACACCACACCAACGGTCGTGGCTGATCGGCAGACGCCGAACACCTGTCCTATCGGTCAGGCGCCGAATCCACCAGCCAGACCCGGAACCATGCCAGACCTGTGTCCCATCGGACCAGGCGGCACTCTTTCGCTGCAACCGGCACAACGTGCAGTGGTACAGCCAATGCACCGGACCACTTGGTCCAGACCGGACCCAAGTGGGACCACTTGGCCCAGACCGGACTAAAGTTGGACGAGTTGGCTCAAACCCGAGCCATGTCCAACCATGACTGGCCCAGATGTTATAGCCCAGCCAGACCTAGTGGTCCTGCTCAAACTGAGCAGCTCTGGAGAAACATGCACCAAAGCGACCAGGACGGCAGCCACCAGGACCAACGGTTTCTGGTGGCGGAGCGACGCGACCAACCAGCGCCAATCGATCAGCAGATTGCTGGTCTCGCTGTCCTGCTGCAGAAGAACCACAACGAAACTCTGCTGGCAGTCGACGCCGTACACCGACGGAACTCCCAACTGGAGCAACAGCAGCTAGAATTTCTGCTGGTGGTCGACAGATTGACGAAGCGGATCTCTCAATTGGAGCATCAGTGGTCTGGACCGTCCACACCGGACCCGGGCCAACAGCCAGTCCATAGCATGGACACTTTACGAGACGCGGTCCAACGGCCCGTCCAATACTCGGATACTACTCGAGATCAGGGCCAACGGCCCGTCCATAACATGGACACCTTACGAGACGTGGTCCAACGGCCCGTCCCGTGCTCGGACACTATCCGAGACCATGGCCAACGGCCAGTCCATAACTTGGACATCTTTCAGGACGTGGTCCAACGGCCCGTCCATCTCTTAGAAATCTTCCGAGGCCCGGGCCAACCGCTCGTTGGTCACTCGAATTCCTTCCAAGCCCCAGATGTATTGCGCGGAAGCCAGACATATGGACTGGGATTGGTACCACCCGCCATGGACCAGGGCGGACATCCGGCTCCTACAAGAGCCAAAACTGACTCAAACCAGCCCAACCTAGTGGGACCGGTGTTCCTGATCGGAGCACCGCCACAAGGCCAGGCAGTGGCAGGACATGTTGGGGCGCCTACGGCGTCGCCGCATGGTCCAACTGGCCCACTCAACTCAGTGGCGCCACCTGGTCACTCATCACCGAACCAAGGCCAGAACTCGCCACAGCCTACCGGGAGCCCGCATAACCCAGCGGTGCCGCCCGGACCAGGGATTCAGCTTAACTTGGGCCCAAACGGGTTCCATCTGATCCCATCACCAGGTGAATGGAGAGTGACCAACGGCGCGATCCAGCCCCCACCTGACCCACTGATGAATCCTCAAGTGGGACCTCAGCCACACCAGGCTCAGTTGGCTCAACAGCCACCGCAGCCAAACCAGGGAGCCCAACCAGGCCAGCCCGTATTGGCTCAACAGCCACCGCAGCCAAACCAGGGAGCCCAACCAGGCCAGCCCGTATTGGCTCAACAGCCACCGCAGCCAGACCAGGAGCCCAACCGGGCCAACCCGTATTAGCGCAGGGACCGCCACAGATTGTGACTGTTGCCCAAGAAGTGGTAAAGTCACTTGTGAATGGCCTGACCATCCACCAAATTGAGCTGCCATTCTTTGACGGCGACCGGACCCATTTTGATTTCTGGATTAACACTACCAGACGTATCCTCAGGCAGAGCGCCGACCTGAACCAGGAAAACGCAAATGTCATGAGTACAATAAGAGCAAGCCTTACAGGCCAGGCTCTCGATTGGTATCAAGGTCAAACGGCACTTGAACCAGAAGAAGGCTGGACCGTCAACGAATGGCTCAACAAATTCGCCATACGATTTACCGAGAATAACAAAGCGGTAAAGGCCATGACCGAAATTATTAACCGAAGGTTCAAGCATGGACAGGAAACACCCGAAGAATTTTACGATGCCGTCATGCTTCTTGCCCTAAAGGCGCAAATCTCGGACGGCATAGCCCTGCATTTCCTGAACACCCACATGGTGGAACCAGGACTGCGTTCGGCCCTAAGCATCACAATGCCGAAAAACACGGCTGAGTGGCTGAAATTTGTACGGGAATTTACCGCAGGCAAAGCGACCTATGAAGCCAAGAATAGGGAAACACCTGGCGTCTACGGCGCCAGCCCAATGGCCAAACCGCATAACCAGAACGGTGGCTACAGCGGAAGGCGTAGCGGCGGTCTAACCTATAACCAGGCTGGAGGCCCTGGCCAGAACGGTCAGAGGTCGTCATCTGGCCCTACCCAAGCCCAACGGAACCTGGACGCCTATATCGACAGACAAGAAGGCCTGTTCGAACAGTGGACGTTCCAGAATTCGATTACTTGCAGCAATTGCTTGTGGGGAAACCACAGTAACCGCAACTGCCTGTACGCAACCACTGACCCCGCCAGCAACCCAAACCGGCGCTGGTATATGGACTGGCGCTTGAGATATAGCTCTCGAGGCCCTGTTGGTGCAGCAAACCCATACCGCAATGAACTCATCGTGGCTGGCAAACCACGCGCACAAGGCGCCAATCGGTCACGTTCGGGCGGATTATGGGGACATCAAGATTTCGTCCATGAGGGACGGCATCTCCCACCTCTGCCCACTGAAGGCGTTAGAGCGTACCCGGATCATCACGCGGGAAACGCATATGGTCAGTGAGCACCGGTGGCTCGGCTGACCAAACCTTTTCACCAGAACCACCGGATTACGGAAGTAGCAATGTTGCGCCGCTACGCGGCGCAGCTGTGACAAGAAGTGTCGCGATAAAAAGTGTCG